GTCAAATAAATTTGATATTAGGGCAATTATTTCTTTTTCTTTACGTTGCTCATGGCGTGACGACGGAATGCAAGAAGTCGATGGATGTAGATGGCTAAGGACCGTGCTTTGTGGTATTCCTTGAATAGGCCTGTGTTCTGATGATTTGAATAATAATGATTCCCTTATCAAATTCGAAAATCAGACTCCTAGAATAGCAGCTTTAAATAGCAACATAATGCTGTAGTGTCCTGTATTGTAAGTAAAGAATATCAAAGCCATTCTGATGTATTTTTTTTAATCGAATAACCACGATGTTACCACATTATTGCTCACAGTACCTGCTTACTATTAGGCGGACTGTGTGCTTGTTTGTCAACCCCCACTTTTAACACTGAAACAATCAGGTGTAGTATGTTTGATGATCGATTACTCGCTTGATTGTCTCGGAAAGGGAGTGCACTAGGCAGGAGCGCCTTTGTTGCTGCTGTATAAATAGTTACGTAGTAATTTAGGCCGCTCAGGTTAAATTAAACCCAATTAACAAATAATTGAGTTGGTATTCCCTTACACTTCTATATTGCATTGTGCTATAGTCAGACGCTCGGCCAGTCTCCAATTCTTAGATGTTCACTTACCACGCATTGTAACCAAACGGTTTGCTTCCTCGTTCGTGTTGTGCACAGTCAGAGGCAGAGTCTAAAAAGCAGATTGGGACTAAATAAGCGTAAAATTTGAGTTTACAAACAAAATTGTGAAAGCAGTGATAAGAGGCTAGCATTGCCTACAAAATCCCATACCCTATTTCCCATTAGTCGCCTTTTGATACAAGCTAGGCAAGTAACACAGTCGGTATATTCTTTAATTTCATTTCAATCTTTCTACTTTAATTCCTGAACCGACCGAATTTTATTAATCAATGAAGATAATTTCGAGGATAGTCTTGTAGTGATGACGTAAAATAATATGATATCACCTAATTTCCTATAAGTTAAAAGTAGAATTTATTTTGAAGGAGAGAAAGACAAGGCTTCTGATAGGCGGAGGTATATCATTACGTAAAAGTTACAACCTATAGACGTCCCACTGCTGGGGCACAGGCCTCCTCTTACTTCTGAGAGGGTTTCACCTTCTGGGAGGGACCATCACGTAAATGTCAAGTAAATTACCACATCGAGGGATGGAGATCAGGGTCAGGGTCGAATTTTGGACAAAATGGCCAACCTCAACGATGACTAGCCATCTGCGCAGAACAAATTTATAGTACCCAAGCGTATGCGAAAGAAATTTTCAGTAGGTAGCATCCCAGCTTCAGGAACTTGGCGGTGTTTTGTTGCGTTCCTCGGAAAGAACGTAAAACCGTTGTTCCTGCATCTGATCCCTTTCTGATAGTGTTGGATAGCTGTCCCTATGAGAGAGGGAATAGAGAGTACGTCTGTGTTCGCGCACACACTCCTGTACTGCGCCGATGACTAGTCACCGTTGAGACTGGCCCCCGTTACTGAATATCAGTCTATTTATATATTTCTTTCATGTATATTACGATAAGGTATGCCCGTGCAGTTTGTTGGACTATATGTTGGACTCTATGAGGCTATATTTAAAACAATAATGTCGTTATTTAATACAGCAGTAGTTAGCTAAAATACGGACCTAATTAGACTTTACACAAACACTATTGTAGTAAATTTTTATATAATGTTTTCTTTTTTCTTTATGGCTTTCTTTCTTTCATTATCACCTGTAGTTATCGTACAGGCAGCAAAAATATTAAGATGGGAGGCAGCATCTTCCTGATTTCCAAACCCTTTTTCCGAGCGTGGCAACAATGGCATATATTCCCACTACATGGCTATTACTATGTTGATTTTTTATCTATGGAAGAGGCCTACGTTCGGCAGTGGACTTGTCATAGGATTTAAAGATTGAATGAGAAAAGGGCTTGTCGTACAAGACATGTATGACAAATTAAACAAAATTACATGTATTTTCCTGTAATATCTCTATGTGGGAAATAAGGGTTAAGCTAAACAAGTTATTTTTTTGTAAAAGAAATACTGTCTGCACCGCTTTATTTGATTAAAATATTGCTATAACATCAAAAGTACGTGGTAGTTTTATGTTATTATCGCTCCAACTGTAAAATAAATGATCTAAGAAGGCAATTTTCGCTCTAGATTCCGGCCGATAGATTCTGCTCCCTACAGAGTACCTGACTCACAGAGCGTACATTATTTATTATACTACCGCTGCATCCACCGCGCTGAACTGCATCCCGCTTGCCGCTTGGGATCTTTATCTAATAATGTATACCAAAGAGTATAATAAAGAGGGATCTTCAGTTTACGGAATATTATTATAGGGACGTCGTTTGCAATATCTAACACTAAAATTACGTATTTAACAACTTTTATTTCCTTAAATATTATTTTACAGAAACAAGAGTGACAAACGAGCAGACACATAAAGTTAAGTAGATGCTGGCCTGTAGGTTTGACCTACATCTGTCATCGATAAAGAGAAACTAAATGCAGGTAAAAACGTATCTGTCATATCATCATCGCATGTCATCATCATACTTTCTGTGGTCGGGAATAAGTTCCTCTAATTTCCAAACACATAATAAAAATAAAAAACATACAGTCGAATTATTGAGTATTTCCTCTTTTTTGACGTCGGTAGAAAAAGGTAGATTCACTCACGAGATTTTTTTTTCACGTGATAAAGCGGCATTTTCAATGTTAATTACTAACACGTCATTCGTTTCGATGAGGATCGAATTCGGCTCGCTTGCGTAGGTACTATTAAATTTAAAGGTCGAAACTTATCATCTGAGGGTCTTCATTAATTCGTATTGCTCTCTTAGTGGTCGAAAATCAACATTAACATACATAACATAAAAACTCACGCCTCTAACCCAGAGGGGTAGGCGGAGACTGCGGACTTCCATTTGGCACGATCCTGACAAACCTCTCTCGCCTCCTTTACATATTAAAGGTACTTTTAATATGGCCTATCTTCGATCTATCGCCAATTTGGTCGATAAACTAGGGCGTCCCTTCGCGACTCTTCCTTTCGCTTTGTAACATTTTATCTAAGTATATATTTATATTTATATATTTATATTAAGCGATTTGTATTTCACTTTCAACTCTCAGTATGTACTGAGAGTCTACAGTATCTATAGCGACAATTTATATTCGACGACTGTTTGTTTACAGGTTGTGTTTGACATTAGCGGAATGAACGTTAACAAATTATGTGCTCGGTAAATAGCCAAAGAGAATATAATGCAATAATGTTCTATGTTTGGTTCTGTGATTACGTGATTAACATTTCAATTTCGATATCAATTATGAATGTAAACAAAAAATTTTAATTTAATGTATTTGTACACATATTGTATATAAATTTGTATACTCCTTTTTCATATAAATTTTGACTATGCCAAATCCTACACTTCTCTCTTTCATTTTATTTCTTTAAATAAAAGTGACAAACGAACCCACAGACCACTTGATAGTATGAGGCTTCTGCAGCCCATGAACACTTGCAACCAACTTCAAATTAATAAGTAAATTAATTAAAAAGTAGTCACCTCTGAGAAATAAGATAGAGTGCCTATTTATGTATAAATAATAATTATACTCGCTCTCTAAGCCACTTCAAATTATTAAGGATAGATAGGCATTGTTACCTCTGAGAAATAAAATAGACTTTCTATATATGAACAAATAGTAATTACACTCAATCTCTAAACCACTTCAAATTAATAACGAAAGATAGGCGTTGTCACCACTGAGAAATAAAATAGACTTCCTATATATGAATAAATAGTAATTATAGTTATTCCCTCACTCTTATAGTCCAATGGGACGGTTATCCGACACGACTGAAGATAGATCAGGAGCAGAACCAACGGCTTTACGTGCTTTCCGAGGCACGGCGGTGAAACGCTGCTAACTTCCCGACGCCGGAAACCTACCGGTACCAGGTTATACTAAGTAATACTTGTTGCCGATAGGTATCTACTCACTCATCTTGCGTTATATACACAAGAATAAAAACGAAAGTCACAGCCAATATACCTTACACTTCTGGGCACAGGCCTCCTCTCATTTATGAGAGGGTTTTAGGGCAAGGAATCACTGCCCCAATGCGTGTTGGCGGGCTTCACGTGTCTTCAAAATGATATTTTTAACTTCTCAGTTATGCAGGTTGTATACATCACGTGGCATACAGCGAAAATCACAATTAACAATTCTATTGGTTCTGACGCGGGGCAAACCCGGATTGCTCGCGTACTATGAAGTTGACAGCGTGCGCTAAGTTCTTGAGCGTGTTTACGTATTTTAAGATAAATGCTTATCTACTGAGCTAACAAGGCTCGCTATATTATAGATAGTAATTAAAATAGAATAGAACAGAATAATTTTTATTCAATATAGTATACATAATACTTATTCAAAGTCATTTTTTTATTTACTAATGGTTTGGAAAATACCACTGTCCTAGTAAGAACCAGTTAAAACCCAGCGGGACTTTTTAAACATATTTACACTTAAGAATATTTTTTACAATTTTTTAAATTAATTTTAACAGAACCAGCATGGTGGAGATCACTTCATTCCAAGGTGTTATTTTTATTTTTTCCTAGTGTTTAAAGTATGAACATCTTTATTCTTAAACCAGCTTTTACCCGCGACTTCGTCCGCATAAGTTTTTTTGTTTTCTCCCGGCTATAAGTCCCCCTGCAACAATGTCCCACTATCGTGTTCCAGTCCTCAACTTCACATCAAAATTTGTTCAAAAGCAACCTAAGCTACATAATGGATAGCTCCGAATGTTTCCTTAGTAAATATAAAAAGTAAATAATGTAAATCGGTTTAAAATACTACTAACTACCTACCTGCCAACCCCCGATGTTAGACAGTGTGACATCCGTAACATCGTCTGCGTAGGAAGTACTAACTTAATGTAAGTAGTATAATAATGTAGGAAGCTAAAAATAAGAGGCCTTATTACTGTAGTACATTTTTGTAAACTATGTTCTTTGTTTTTCCCTCTCTGGCCAACACATGGAGATTCTGTGGACTTGAAACACGTGAGCAAGCCACGTATAATTGTCCGTGAGAAAAACAACTCTTTTCTAAATTAATGCCGGCTACTTTTAATGTTTGCCCCTGAGCTTTATTTATCGTCATAGCGAATGCGATTTTCAGCGGAAACTGTAATCTCTTAAACTGGAATGGCAAATCTGTCGGAATTATGGGTATACGGGGGATTAAAACGTTCTCTCCTTTTGCCATTCCAGTCATAATGATTGCTTTTACAATATTGCGACCGAGGTGTGTCACTTGCAACCGTGTGCCATTACACAGTCTTGGTGCATCTAAATTCCGCATTAAAAGGACAGGAACGCCTACTTTCAGCCTCAGTTTGTGTGAAGGTACTCCCGACAGTTCTAAAGAATTAAGAAATTCTACAGGGTATGATGTTACTTGTTCAGTATCCATTACAGTGTCTACAGAGAGAAACTCAACAATATCACCTTCCACGCGTGACATAATTTGCTCGTTTATCTGTCCCACCATTTCATTCGTCGGCGCTAAAATTGCTCTTTCACATAACCAGTCTCTATTCCTCATATTAGTTAGCAGTTCGCTATAGACGAAGTTATTTAGATCATCTGGATTATGCACAACATTGCAGAATTCACGATCCAATGTAATCATGCCATTACCATCCTTTGCCATACGATCTTCTCCAATTTTAAGAAGAGCAGCAGCATATTGTCCAGATTGTACATCATTGTGTAGTTGCACTCTCATATTTGTAGACAGACTAAACGTTTTTACGTGCACCCATAACGTTGACGCTTTTAAACACGCATTTATTTCATCTGCAGGGGTGCCTTTAGTGATAACCGGCAAAGTCTGTCTAAAATCGCCCGATAAAAGTACCACCATCCCCCCCATGATATTTGGATTACTCTTGATGTCTTTCAAAGTCCGATCTAGAGCTTCAATTGCTCTTTTATGGGACATAGTACACTCATCCCAAACTAATAATTTACATTGCTGCAACATACGTCCACGCTCGCTGTTTTTACTTATATTACAGACTGGCATTTCTTCATGGGCTAAGTTTAATGGCAGTTTAAGCACCGAATGTGCCGTTCGACCACCATTGAGCAGAGTGGCGGCTATTCCGGAAGAGGCAACTGCTACAGCAATTCCTTTATCTTTTCGGATTTGCGCTAAAAGCAAGTTTAAAAGAAAGGTTTTTCCCGTGCCTCCGGGAGCATCCAAAAATAACAAACCACCTTCGCCATCTTCGATTTTTTTGAAAACATTGTCAAATACTAACCTTTGTTCTGGGATCAAACATGGAACAGACTCTGTCAATTGTTGTTGTAAGGAAGCAGTATCGTAATCTAGTTCCCGTATTAAATCGCTACTGATTTCCTCGGTTCTCTGTGGTCTGATCATTCCATAATCTGATAAATCCTTTCCAGAAATTGTTTTAACCTGGTCTTCAATTTTTGTCAGACCCTCATTGTAAATTAAATCACTGTACGTGGAACGAGGAAAGAGTGACAAAGCAAATTTATGTTGCGGAAGTGAACGGCAGGGTCGAGAAGGGACGCCCTAGACGAAGGTTTATCGACCAAATCGGCGATACATTAAAAATGGGCCAGATTAGGAGTACCCTTAACAGACGAGCGTGTATGCGTAGATATATGGATGTAAAAGAGACGAGAGAGGTGTGTCAGGATCGCGCCAAATGGAAGTCCGTAGTCTCTGCCTACCCCTCTGGGTGACAGGCGTGAGTGTTTATGTTATTATGTTATGTTATGTACGTGACATTGGGATTTTGCTCTTGCAATCTGTGCAATATATCGTCGGTCATATCATTTTTGTATTTATCCCACAATTGTTGAGGATTTGAAAGACCACATGTCGCAACTAATACAGCAAATAGCTCTCTCATCTTGCCTGCTGATCTACATTGAGCAGCTTCTTCCAGTGTCACATCCCAATGGTTGTCATTCTCCAGTAATCCTCTTGCCTCACATGCCTCTCGAAATGTAGGATAATCTTGTGTGTTGTATTTTTTTAGATCATTGAAAGAGGTAGGTCCGCGCACATGGTGTAAAAGCATGCGTAGACAAAAACATTCCATGTTACTAACATGAACTGTATAAACTCGTCCTAAAGCATCTCCAGATTTGACGCCAGGCCAATCGTGAACTGAAGTACCTTGAATGCGGCGTTTCCAAGTTTTCCTACTTGCATCCCAAGTATAATACCTCGGCACCTCGACATAAAGAAGAGTTTTTGCAAACTCATCTCTGATACAAAGATCAAAAAAAGCAGTGAGTGTGGTTTTTGGCGGAGTAGTTATTCGTTCGTGGAAATTGTGTTCATTAAAATAAACGCGTTCACCATTTTCTAAATGCACGCTGAGATGTGTCACGGTGGGATGCCTTTCGTGCAACGGAAATGCTAACAGACGCCACACGGCTTCGTTGCTGCTGACATACCGACCAGACTGATAAGTTTGTACCTCATCTACGGGATTCGCAAGATCAGTATTTCTAAAATTGAAAATAGCTTGATCACTACCCTTGTTTATATATTTGCAAATATATTTGATGGCGCGTACTGAACTGCATGCCTCAACATTTATGTGGGCGTTAAACATTTTTGATAAAATTAAATAAAGACAGATGCATCAAAATTTTATAATAAATTCCCTAAATTATGGCGCCTACCGACCCTCTAAGTTAGAAAAGTGATCAAATACTAACTTTAAGTCTTAGTAACACTCATTTAAAGAAAAAACATCAAAATCATTTCAGTAGCTATGGCGTCATTCGCTTCTTGACACGATCACGCTAGATTTCCGCGGGAATGAGGTATTTTCCCGCCGTAAGAAGTAGCCTGTGTCCGTGCCTAGGATCCTATCTTTATATTAACCAAGTCTTATAAAATTCCGTTCAGACGTTAAGGCGTGAATGAGGTAAACTTTTAAACCAAACTATTAAAAATCACTAACTTAATTAGTTTTCTGCCTACTGCCTACGCCTTAAGTACGATAGCATGAATATTAATAGCCCATATCCTTTTCTAGGTTACTATCTATCACCTAACTAAATTTCATCAAAATCCGTTCAGCCGTTTAGGCATGATAGAGCAAAACTCCCACCAAAAACCATAAAAAAATCACTAACTTAATTTAGTTATCTGCCTACTGCCTACCCCCTAAGAACGATGGCGTGGTTATTTATAGCCTATTATTTATAGTCTATTATCATCTATCACCATACCAAAGTTCATCAAAATCCGTTCAGCCGTTTAGGCGTGAAAGAGGAACAGACAGACAGACAGACAGACAGACAGAGTTACTTTCGCATTTATAATATTAGTATGGATTTTAAAATTTATTATATAAAATAATATAAAATTTTATTCTCAAAGTTTTTTATGTTTTTATCTACATACATCACATTTTCATAAAGATATTGCAATGCCAAAGTTTAAAAATAATTTTTATTTCTTTAAATTTTTCTCTGAGCGTCTCTTTACAATTTAAGTTATAAATCGCCCGTAAGGCTCTTTTTTTTCAAAACAAATATGGCTTTAATATCAGTCGCATTACCCCATAGCAAATTTCCATAAGGCATTACGCTATGAAATTAACTAAAATAAATAAATCTAACTATCTATACATTGGTAAGACTTCTAATCTTTCGTACAGCATATGCTGCAGAAGTAAGTCTGCTTGCTAATTTAAATATATCGGGGCCCTAATGAAGCTTTACGTCGATAGTAATACCAAGAAAAACAGTGGTATGCACAAGACCCAACAAAAAAAATGCCGCGGCAGAAATTAGTTTTTTTTTTTTTATAAAACTGATGTAACCAACAAACCTACAGTCCACCTAACAGTAAGTTGCTGCTGCAGTCCAAGGACACCTGCTGCCAACTTCTAACAAAGAATGCTATACGTGCGTGTAGTGCGTTGTCACCTCTAATGACTAAGCAAAGCCTCACAGACTACATCTTTATACGTGGTAGAGCCGTGCTGCAGCTATATCAGTAGTAAAGTTGTAGCACGAATGGGTCAGCTCGACAGGGGAAGAACCACGCTCGCACACAATACCAACGTAAAATAGCAGCTTAACACTGCTGTGTTTCGTATGGTGAGTGTAGAGAACCGTATACCCCTTTTACTGGAAACGAGACATTCTTTCTTATTCCTCACGGGTGGCAACGCATTTGCATTTTGATTCGAAGTTGAGGATGGATGTAGATGTCTATGGACCACAACAACTACTTACCATCAGGTGGACTGTGTGCTCGTTTATCAACTTAATCCTATAAAAAAAAACTACAACTTTATTAGCTCCCTATACCATTCACTGGGACAGAGCAGTTCAAGCACTACTATTTGGTAGAAAAAATTGTTAATTTACTTACTACTAGGCTAAAAAGGAGAAAGAAATGAGATACCATTTGGCTGATTGAACCATTTTAATTTTTAATACAATCGTCATACAGTTTATAATCTAGCAATATTTCAGAATTATAAAAGATGTGAGAGCATTGTAGTGAAGTTCTAAATTCGCGCTCTCTTTGTATTTTCAGTTCACTGCTACAAATAAGATAATAGCGCACGCTCCCTTACTTAAATATTAAACGAAATTTGAAGCTACTTTATCATTTCTCACTGAGGAACTAGTAATGTATTAAGCTATATATATATATATATATATATATATATCTATACTAATAAATAAAATTGAAGTATCTGTTTGTAATGTCAAAATACCAGCTATTTACTAAATGTATATGAAAGTATATACGGTACTTATAACAAAAACACAATTTTTAAAATTTTGTCTGTCCGTAGGTCTGTCTGTCTGTCTGTTTGTTCCAGCTAATCTAAATTACACGCGGGCAAAGTCGCGAACAGCTAGTATACATATATATATATATATATATATATATATATATATATATATATGTAGTAAGCTTGTTTTGCGTTTGACTAATTTGACTAAAATTAATATTCCAAAATGAAGGCAGCCCATAGTTCGAGTAACCGACAGAGCCGAGCGACCTGCGTTAACCGTGACCATGAGTACAGGCATCAAGAAAGTAAAAATTAAATTAAAAAAAACGTAATATAAGTATTTTTATGTATTATATATACAATAAGAAATCATTCATTGTAGAAGCGTGCTCGCCGCGACCCCTGCCAGCCCTTTTCAGGGCTGCAATTCTACTCAGCTGCGCACCCATGTCAACGAGGGTTAGGGCATCCCCCCAAGGCGACGCACACCAACTCGTCCCCGTTGGTGTGGAATGCAGCGCGCAAAGCGGCGATGGGGACCGCCACCCGTCACGCACAGCCCGACACGGCGGAAGGTGGAGGACGGAGTGCAGAGTTGGCACGTGGAATGTTAGAGGAGGCATGAGAGATAAGACGAATGAGTTGATCGAAATAATGAAAGAAAGAGAATTAGATGTCGTGTGTATGTCGGAGACCAAACGGAAGGGCAGTGGTACTGAAGAGCTCCCTGGCGGGGCGTTTGTTCTATGGTCCGGAGTCCCGGAGAGCGAGAACGCCTGCCAGGGAGTGGGGGTGCTGCTGTCTTCTCGGTTGGTCGATGTTATGACTGAATATAAGTTTGTGAACTCAAGACTTCTCTGGGTTCGCTTTAAATTGGGACTGACGAAGTTATTCCTTTTGGCAGTTTATGCGCCGGTGGCTTCGTCGTCCAGGGCTGAGCTGGAGGAGTTTTGGGAGAATGTAAGAGAAGTTCTAGATTTGGCTAGGGGAAACGAAAGGATTGTTGTATGTGGTGATTTGAATGGATGGGTTGGTACCGCTCGACCAGGGTACGAGTCGGTACTTGGAAAGTTTGGCGATAAAAGGGTTAATGATGCTGGCAAGCTTATACTGGCGGTATGCAAGGAAAAGGGTCTTCTTGTGACAAACACTATGTTTAATCACAAGAAAATCCATATGTATACTAGAGAAAGAAAGAATGAGAGAAGTATGATCGATTTGTTCCTGGTGGATGACCGACTGCGAAAACAGGTTATGGATACGCGAGTGTTCAGGGGTGCTGACCTGGGAACGGATCACTATCTAGTGATTACTAGATTTAGGGGTCTGTTCGCGGGTTGGCGCTACCGGACGGCAGTGACAGAACCACAGTCGGTCTGTCGCATCCGAAGCTGGAAGCTTCAGGAAGCGGATACTAGGGACAAATATCATGCGAGGGTAGCCGAAAAGCTTGACACCATCGATGGCAGAAACGAATGTGTAGAAAGAACATGGCAGAACCTTAGGGATGGAATGGTAAGTGCAGCGGAAGAAGTGTGTGGAACAATAAAAAGAGGCAGTAGTAAAAGAAGAGATGCATGGTGGAATGATGAAGTGAAAGAAGCTGTAAAGAAGAAGAAGAAAGCATGGTTAGACTACTTGGCCTCTAGTAATGATAAGGATATGAGAGAGAAGATGAAAGAAAGATATAAGCTGCAGAAAGTTCACACGAAAGCATTGATTGAGGAAGTGCGTGAAAGGT